TGCTGTTGAATGTAGTCGTATTATATATATATTATATATATACACATATATATATACAATACATATATAATAGATCGTATATAATAGATAATATAGATGTATAGCTATAACTCACCATGAGGAACTTCGCTAGCTTACAGAACGCGTTGCCCAATAGGAAATCAACGGTGTGCTTCCAGACCGCATCCACGAGCACATTGAACACGCCACACGACAGATCTGAAATGAGAGCACATTGTTGTGAATTCTCGGCCCGCGGTGAAAACATTTATTACTGTATTTAGCGTTTTATCATAATTATAGGTGTCTCCCGATCATTTCTGTTGTTCGTTTGAGAAGTTCATTCGCGTTAATCTTTACTTTCAGACACCAGATGGCGTATCTAATGGAACATCGGTGGTTTATGCAATTAGGTTAGTCTCTTTGTCTGAGCACGGTCATTTACATGCAACGTGTTATTTGCCTTGGTTGTTTGCTCACGCGGTAACTCATTCCTGTTAGACGCTGTCATTGCAGTCCGAACGTTCGTCGCGACTTTATAAAGATGCAATATAACCTCGAACTTTCTCAGAAAATCGCACAACAACAATCTGTAAGAGATCATTGGCGAACACGAAATTTGTCAAATAGCGGAGCGCGCTCCGTTTCTCGATCAGCAAACCGTATAAACCTACATCCTATACGTTACCCTCGCCGTTGATTACAAACCTACAGAGAATTTCTAAAGTTATTTGTGCTGGTACAAGCGATTCTTTAGCAAACACTCTCGTTCCAATTTCGGTCGATGGCACTACTAGCATTTCTTATCGCATTCGCTTGACACATCGTATGACTCGTGTCTTACGCTTCATTTTCGTTAGCCGTACGTAGGTCGGTCACCCTTTCGACGTGGCGTCACACTCTTCCGACAGCGTTTGCTCGCCGAGCATGTGAATAGTTTTAATTTCCGCGTCACATTATTTCTTACATTCGACATCCTGTTTTTCTGCTAGATGTAGCTGTCGGGGCTGCAGTTGAAGCCTCACACGTAAGCCTAATAGGCATCGGCTGTTCATCGATAAACTTGACACCGCTAGTGGGCGTTCGACTCGCGTGTGGAACATAGACAAATACAATAACACTTTCGCATGGTCTAATTAAGGGGTGGACACACTAGGCGATGGATCGCATGAAAAATCGCGTAGTGTGTCCAGTGAGTCGCGGTCGATTTTCGAGTCGGCCGGCCGAGTCGCCCGATTCAAACATGTTTGATAATTATTTGAGCCGGCCGGCTGCAATCGCCTAGTGTGCCCGAGTCTGCGATTGAGTCAGTCGATTGTACAATTCATCAGCCAATCAGCGTGCTGCAAATCCACAGAGTCGCCCGACTCAGTCGCGTAGTGTG